TTTTTTTTTTTTTTTTTTTTTTTTTTTTTAAAACTTTTTTTTCTTTTTTTTTTTTTTTTTTTTTTCTTTTTTGGTTAAAAATAAAAAAAAAACGTTCTTTTTTTTTTTATTTTTAAAATTTGAAAACCTTTATCGAATTGCATACACGGAAGGAAGCGGGATAAATTTTGAAGCCGAAACCGGAATTGCTTCCTTTTTTTTTTAAGCCCCCCTTTCCGAGCCGCCCCCGGGGTTTCCCCCCAACCCCCCCTCCCCCCCCCCCCCCCAAAAAAAAAGTGTCTCACGGAGCCTTCTCGGCTGTCATCGAAGATTGTTCAAATTTTGTTCTCATATTTGGCTTGTGTTTCCTACAAATCTTGGTCATTTCTTACTGTTTATCTTTCCTTTCTTGCAGGTAAAAGAAATAGAGAACCGTTTTCGTTCAACTGAGATTACTGCACTCGAAGATATACGAATCACAACTATTGACAGTTTTCAGGTGGGTTAAGTACACAACGCAAATGTTTCTCAAGCCTCCGTAATGCTCGGGGAGTCTGTGTGTATGAATCTTGGCTATTTTTTCAGACAATATCAGAGACGAAAACTCAGCCGTGTTTTATTAGATTTAAGAAACTCATGCGGATGAATTGTGAATAAGTTTGAACTGTCAAGGAACGCGGGTAAAATTTATGGATCAATAAAAAATCACCAAGCCTCTCATAGAGCATTATTATGAGGCCGTGTCTCTCATAATAAAATCAATATTGACCGCGGCCTAGCGAAAACAAAAAATAAAAGACAAGAAAATAATTACCCCTATGATCAATGCATAAAGGAATACTTCAAGTGTACTGCGATCGGTCTGTACAGGGATCGAAAGAGCAATGCCACATTCCGGAATCCGGGAAATTCTTTCTTGTAGAATGCGGAATCCGTAAAATTTTTCTTGCGCCAATGTGGAATCCGGAATACAGCTCAAGAAATCTGGATCCCACTAACGATTGGAATCCGGAATCCAAGCTTCACTGGCAAATAATCCAACAATAACCTAGAATAATGCCAAAGTTAAAGATACTTTCTCTGCTTGGCTTCACTCATGGTGTGGATAATGTTTACCCCACAGCTTGTGTGTAGCGTCCTTTAATACAAAAGCGACGACGAAAACTAAGAACTCTACGTCGATTCGTCCGATAGTCTCCTGCAAACAATTTCATCTATGCCACTTCGCGCTCCATGCAAGGGAATCCAAGACAGTCTTGGATTTTGGATCCCACACCGTGGATTGCATATTCCAGGTGCTGGATATCAGTTTTTACCAGTGGGAGCTGAATTCTGGATTCCATTCGTTATTGGGATTCCAGTTTCCTTGCGCTGGATTTCGGATTCCAAATCCAAGGATTCCGGCATTTCCCGAATTCCCTTTCACGGGCCGACACTTCGCTTTTTCCCTTTTCCGCGAGCAACAAAGTAAATAGGAGATTTCTAAACGCAGGCTACTTCATGTCAGGATTCGCTGTGTATGAATATTTCTTTTTCAATCACAGGGGCAAGAAAATGATGTAATCCTTGTTTCGCTGGTTCGAAGCAACAAGGAAGGTGTTATTGGATACCTAGCTTCAATGGACCGCTTGTGTGTGGCCATTTCTCGGGCGCGTTGTGGTCTTTATCTTTTCGGCGATCACGTGCATTTGTCGCGGAAATCTAGTAAAGGTTGGAAGGTATGTAATGGGGACTTTAAGATACACCGTTTTGCCTATACTACGGTTACGTGTAGACGAACATGTTTACACGTGGTTATGCAAAAGGCGATAGTCATGATTTCCCAGTTGTGATAATAGCATCACCGTTCCAACCGGTAGTCTAGCAGTTTCTCTAGGGTAAAAGGCCATCTACCCGTATTTAGGGCTACGCGTACGAGTAATTTAACCGTACCCATACACAGAAACGGTGTATCTTAAGGTCTCTAATGTTGCATAGATATCAGTTGACAAACTAGAAGCTGAGGTATGAGCTTTCATCTTTACAGCTAGTGTCTACAAAGCAGCAGCACCCTTACAGAAAGTTCCGTCCTGTAGACTCTTGTTTTAACTGAGGTCAACGTCGTGTTATTAATAGTTAAAACACAAATTATGTAAAACCTTCTTGTAAAAACGTCTGTTGTTTAACCTACGTTGGTTTGCCTCGGCTCCATTTATATTTACATACATGTATTTTTACCATTCACTAGCTTTCAACTGAATGGTCCACGGGCCCAAAATTTTTGGATATTTAGTAAACCATGAAAGAAAAAGCAGGCGCACACAGAATTTTTTTTTTATCATTTAAAAAAATGCTTTGCTGCTTACCGAATGCAGGAAGCGATAAGCATACCTACATACCTACATACTTTATTGTAACTCCCTAAAAGGGCTTTTCGGTTACAAGACAAATTAGCAAAACAAATCAAAGAAAGACTATCGTCAACTCGTGGGTACGTTGTTTAGAAAATAATCAAGTAGATATCCCTCAGTAAATTTTAGGAAATGATAGAAATTCAGATTATAAATATACTATCCTTGTTCTGGAAACACAATACTTTTCTAGGTGTTTATTGCACTTTATTAACAGTTATTTAGGTATATATTTAAAAAAAAAAAAAAAAAAAAAAAA